ACCTCTTGCCCCCCCTTTGCCACCACATGTAAAATGTTCTACTACTACTACTACTATTACTACTACTACTACTACTACTACTACTACTACTACTACTACTACTACTACTACTACTACTACTACTACTACTACAACTACAACAACTACTACTACTACTACTACTTACAGTAAAAAACGACTTTCTGTACATCCAACTATTAAATCAATCAGCTATCTCAGGACATTGAGGCTATACATTTACAGAGGACGAAACAAGTATTTAACCCCCTTCAGATTTTGTAAGTTTACCAACTTATTTTACAACTAAAAGCTCTTTTCAAATGAAGAGCAGGTTGTAACCGAGGCTCTGTGTGGGTCAGAGTCTGAGCGCTGCTCCTCCTCCTGGAGTGACTCAGAGTTTGATAAGCCCTCCCTCTCCTTCCTGCTCTCAGACACAGCCAGCTCCACTCTGTGTTTCCTGGTTCCTCCCCTTCAGATCCACACTGAGGAGGAGGGGTGTAACCAACATGTGGGTAAAGTACAAGAGCTGATAGGCCACATTCACCGCCCACACACATGCTGTTCAGATAACCTGTCACACTAGTTTCAGCTCTCAGGAAGTGAAACTCACACACTCGCTGCTACTGAGAGGTGAAATGGCGCAGAAAGGAGTTCAGCTGGAGCGGGAAACCTTCTCTTGTTCCATCTGTCTGGATCTACTGAAGGATCCGGTGACCACTTCCTGTGGACACAGCTACTGCATGAAGTGTATTCAACAGCACTGGGATGGAGAGCTAATCCACAGCTGCCCTCAGTGTAGGCAGCGCTTCACACCGAGGCCTGTCCTGCTGAAAAACACCATGTTAGCAGCTTTAGTGGAGGAGCTGAAGAAGACTGGACTCCCACCTGCTCCTGCTGATCACTGCTATGCTGGAGCTGAAGATGTGGCCTGTGATGTCTGCACTGGGAGGAAACTGAGAGCCTGTAAGTCCTGTCTGGTGTGTCTGGCCTCTTACTGTGACAAACACCTCCAGGGTCATAATGAATTACCTGTCTTTAAAAAACACAAGCTGGTGGAGCCCTCCAAGAAGCTCCAGGAGAACATCTGCTCTCGTCACGACGAGGTGATGAAGCTGTTCTGCCGCACTGATCAGCAGTGTATCTGTTCTCTCTGCTCTGTGGACGAACACAAAGGCCACGACACGGTGTCAGCTGCAGCAGAGAGGACTGAGAGGCAGAGAGAGCTGGAGGGGAGTCGACTAAACATCCAGCAGAGAATCCAGGACGGAGAGAAGGAGGTGAAGCTGCTTCAGCAGGAGGTGGAGGCCCTCAATGGCTCTGCTGATAAAGCAGTGGAGGACAGTGAGAAGATGTTCAATGAGCTGATCCGTCTCATGGAGAAAAGAAGCTCTGATGTGAAGCAGCAGGTCAGATCCCAGCAGAAGAGAGAAGTGAGTCGAGTCAAAGAGCTTCAGGAGAAGCTGGAGCAGGAGATCTCTGTGCTGAAGAGGAGAGACGCTGAGCTGAAGCTGCTGTCTCACACAGAGGATCACAACCAGTTTCTGCACAGCTACCCCTCACTGTCAGCCCTCAGTGAACCTACACACTCATCCAGCATCAACATCCGTCCTCTGAGCTACTTTGAGGACGTGACGGCGGCCCTGTCAGCAGTCAGAGACAAACTACAGGACGTCCTGAGAGAGGAATGGACAAACGTCTCACCGACTGAAGTGGAGGTTTTACCGTCAGCAGCAGAGCCCACCACCAGAGCTGGGTTCTTACAATATTCACAGGAGATCACTCTGGATCCAAACACAGCACACACATGGCTGGTATTATCTGAGGGGAGCAGAAAAGCAACAAACATGGGACAACAACAGTCTTATTCTAGTCACCCAGACAGATCCACTTATTATTCTCAGGTCCTGAGTAGAGAGAGTCTGACTGGACGTTGTTACTGGGAGGTGGAGCAGAGAGGGGCAGCAGTTTATGTAGCAGTCGCATACAAGAATATCAGCAGAGCAGGGATTGAAAGTTTATTTGGACACAATGACAAATCTTGGTCCTTAGATTGTGACCAAAACAGTTATTCATTTCGTTACAACCGTATCAGCACTCCCGTCTCAGGTCCTCAGTCCTCCAGAGTAGGAGTGTACCTGGATCACAGAGCAGGTATTCTGTCCTTCTACAGCGTCTCTGAAACCATGACTCTCCTCCACAGAGTGCAGACCACATTCACTCAGCCGCTACATGCTGGAGTTTGGCTTTATCAGACTTATGGAACCACTGCTGAGTTTTGTAAACTCAAAAAGCCTGAAGTCATTGGAGGAGCTCTTCTACTTCTTAAACTCACCGTGTGACCATCAGAGCTGATTGTTCATGTCTTCACTGTGCAGAGATCAGCTGTCAATCAAACATGATGGGTGGGGCTTCAACATCTTCTCATGAGTTGTTCTTTAAAGGTTGGACTTTCTTCCGGCTCCTTCCTGGGTCTGTGTAGCCATGGAGGCTGTCACTGCTCAGGAGGATCCTTGTTCACCTGAACTGATATGTAAACTTTGCTCTAAATATGTGTTGGATATTTCTTGATTCATGTTGTTGTTTCTCTTGTAATGCACGAGTCTTCAGAGAGAAAGCAGCAGAGCTTCTTTTATTGTACACATTTTATTCTGGCCACTTTCTAAAACAATATAGACATTTATTGACAGATTAAATGTTATTGTTGCCCAAATTAACTACAAATGAGTTCCCAGATGGTTATAACACTTATTTCATCATACAATGTTTATTTAAAATGATATTACTTACTGTCATGATAATAATCAATAAGGAAATCATGTATTATTCTGTTTTAAATTGCTTAGAGTCTTAGCTTGGGAAATAAAATGTTATTGTTTTGCAGACTAATTGTTGTTGTTGTTGTTGTTATCCAAATAGAAAGTGGGTACTCTGATGTTTTATAGAACATAACTTATCATGATAATAATCAATAAGGAAATCATGTATGATTCTGTTTGAAATAGCTGAGATGAAACACATGTATGGTGTGGATAAAGTGAAACTGATCATGAAATCATTGAACAGACTTTACTGATGGGATGTGTGATCAAATGAAATGTTTGGATCATTAATAAAGGTTTGTCTTTCAAAAACAAAAAGGATGTTCTTCTTGTATTATGTCCAAGGTGCCATACGAAGCTGATGGAGAACATGTGGAAGTGATCTGAGACTAAATGAAGCTCAGCGCAAGTTCAACCAGGAAGACCGTCTTTACTCATTCATTTACTATTTCTAGTCGACGCAACCCCTCTCCACCTCCTGTCCCTCTGAATCCAGGGTCAAGCTAAGCCCCTCCCCTTTTGTTTGTCTGAACACCTTGGCCCTTTCTCATGTCATCAAATGTCCCATCCTCGACTCCTCGACTCCTCGGTCCTCCGGTAGTGACCCGGAAATGAATTTTAGCGCGCCATGTTGAAGGACATCTCATTTCTAGAAATGCACATCGAGGACCGAGCATCGAGCGTCGAGGAGGCTCTCTGGAGGAGCTATAACCGAGGATACACTGATGGGTCCTCCACAGTCCTCCACGGCTCCTTCGTGGATGCATTTCCGGCAACAGTGATGTTTCAAAGAGTCGAGACGCACGGCCGGACTTATCTCAGCCAATGACAGCTCTGCATGCATCCCCTGGATATTATTTTATTAACTGCTTTCATCGCGACGCGATGTTTACAGTGAGAACAGCTGTGAGGTCCGTGCAGAAAGCAGAGCAGTGTGTATAATATATATCATATCACTCAGTATAACAGGCCTACTCTCTTTATTTGCTTTAGTTTAGTAGATATCTACAAACAAAGTCGATATTTTTCTAAAACCATTTAGTGCTTCACATAATAAAATACACAACGGCTGTAGCCTGATTATATGCTTTAGGAGCTGTAGGTGCGTGTGTGTGGTGTAGGTGTGTGTGGTACAGTGTGTGCGTAGATGCAGCGGACAGACAGGTCTCAGTTGGTTTGGTGTCCTCTGCTTACTTGTAATACTTGTAAATAAAACTTTTGGCCCGTCATTTATTTCCCTCATTGTAGCGACCAGAGAGGGGGGGGGGGGATATATCCAGTCTCTGATAGTGTTACGTTATTATGAGAGTGCTCCGTTTGATTCTGAAATTGTATATATTTATATAAATATATACATATATGTGTGTGTGTGTGTCTGTGTGTCTGTGTGTATGTCCGCATCTGTAGCCTATTATTGTCTCATTATACCGCACTGTGAATGAATTAAAAGTAAATATATAAGTCGTCATGAACACATCTGTCCATCAGACAGAGGGCTGCTGTGCCTCCTGTCATCATTAATGGACGTCTCTTTAAAATGACCGCTCAGAGGAGAGGAGTTCTCATTTCTCTAACCGCCTGCTGCTTCCCCTCCTCTCTCCTCGGTTCCCCTCCTCGGCTCCTCCGCTCGCATCTCCTGTGGGCGGGACTAAGTCTCGAGGATAGGAGTCGAGGAGGGGAGTCGAGGAGGAACATTTGAAGACATGAGAAAGGGCCCTTGTTTCTCTTGTGAATTAAGAACACTTGTGTTAGGCCATGATTTAACAAACAGGTTTTATATACAGTATGAAATACCACGTACTGTCCGCCCTCCCATGCCACCCTGGCATGAGCTCTTGCCCCCCCATGTAAAATGTTCTAGAACCGCCACTGCTTAGCAGTACAGATAAATGTGGGCTCACTATTTGACAAGCAACCGGTCAGTCGCCCTGTTTATCTCATGTCTTATAAAAGCTTATTAATGATTTATAAAGTGTTCACAACCTAATTTGTAAATGAATTACAAACTATTCGTAAACCCTTTATAAGGGTATCTTATTGTAAAGTGGTACCCATGTGTCTTCTCAGTGTTAATATAACAGGTCTTTCAGTCCTCAGATAGATACACTCCTCTTGTCATCATCACAGCTGTGATGACACTGATGGACATTTTATAGACACATGACAGACACAATGGAGAAGTCAAAGAAAAAAAAGAAATATTTATTGTATTAACCACAATGATGTATTATGAAACAAAACATATGGAACATTTTAAAACCAGAATATTGGACAGAATAATTAAGCTTCTTTCGTTTTTTACAAATCATGTCAGGGTTAGGGTGTGTGTGTGTGTGTCTTGTGACTTGCATTAGAGAGGCATCAAGGAACGTATTGCACATTGAGTCAAAATGCAAGCATGACAAGCTTTATTGTCTGAAAATAAATAACTGAGCCAGACGTCACGTGATGGGAGCTCCTCTGGACGACTGATGAAGAGTCACATGAGACAGAGTCCTAACAACAATTTGGAGAACTGTGTGAAAGCTCAAATATTTTTGCCTGGATTGGAGAATTTTCTAAAACGAACAAGGTAATGTTTCAATGTGTTGTTGCCTGACTCAATAACATTTTGTTTACAGAACGATGAGCAGTTTGAAAAGGTGAAATGTTAGGATCTGTGAAGCTCCCGCCACAGTGCCGACTTCTTCATCATCACCATCAGAAATGTGTGTGTGTGTGTGTGTGTGTGTAGACAGAAGCTACTCCACAGGTCGAATGCCCTTGGCCTCCTCCAGGTTCCTCAGGGTCTCGTCCCATTGGGTGAATTGCTTAGAGAGCAGGAACATCTGCCAATCAGAGATCAGTGGTGAGTGGGAGGAGCTTTGTGATATCAGAACGTCGGTGAAACAAAAGACTAAATATGAGCAGCGATCTAAATCTCTCTCTGATTCCCACTGCTGGGTTAAGCATTTATTAGACACGTTAGTTTAAGAACAGAACAAATATGATTTCCGCATCATAACTATGTTTTTATTCCCGCAAGAGATATTAAAGTATAGGGAAAATGTTGTAGTGACGTGTCATTTAGAAAACGTTAACATCAATACTACCTTTGTCTCGTGGTTTAAATAGAAATATTGTGAAAATAGAAGTGTACCATTTTGTTGTAGTCCTCAAAAAGCTTCTTCACTTCCAGGGACTGAGCCTCGGTTTGGTCCTGGGACAAAGACGGACATGGGGTCAATGGATAAAACACAGTGAGACACACACATTGAGAAAGATGGAGGGAGGGGGGGGGGGGGGGTTACCTGCTCTTTGATGTGGATCTGCGACAGGCGCTGCAGCTTGGTGGCATGCTCTGGCACATCTGTGAGAAACAGAAACATACAGCTAACACAGAACACACACTCCTGTACAACACCACGGCAACACTACATCACTGAATATTAAGGGATGACACATTCAAGCAAACAGAAAACCAATTCTGAAGATCTCTCACCAAGTATTTATCTAGTTCTAGAAAAAATGTTTATTTAAAGGTCACCTATTATGGAAAATCCACTTCTTCCTGTCTCTTCTACATCAACATGTGTCCCCTCTTCTTCATGTCTCTTCTACATCAACATGTGTCCCCTCTTCTTCATGTCTCTTCTTCATCAACATGTGTCCCCTCTTCTTCATGTCTCTTCTACATCAACATGTGTCCCCTCTTCTTCATGTCTCTTCTACATCAACATGTGTCCCCTCTTCTTCATGTCTCTTCTACATCAACATGTGTCTCCTCTTCTTCATGTCTCTTCTACATCAACATGTGTCCCCTCTTCTTCATGTCTCTTCTACATCAACATGTGTCCCCTCTTCTTCATGTCTCTTCTACATCAACATGTGTCCCCTCTTCTTCATGTCTCTTCTACATCAACATGTGTCCCCTCTTCTTCATGTCTCTTCTTCATCAACATGTGTCCCCTCTTCTTCATGTCTCTTCTACATCAACATGTGTCCCCTCTGTGTAAAGAGACTCTGAAAGTCTCAGGAACAAAGATTCTCTCTCTTTTTGTCCTGATCCATTTTTATAAAAACCTGTCTGAAAATGAGCTGATCAGATTTTGGCCACTTTATGATGTCATAGCGATGTTTTGGCTTGTGGAACCATTAGCCAATCAGCAACCAAGGTAACCCCCCCCCCCCACCACCTTATCACCTGAATCTCCTCCTAGAGCACCATTGTGTCGTAGGTCACATGCCCGGACGCTGACGACAGGAGACAGTGGCACGTAGATGTTGTGTTTTCCGTGCTCTGCTCAGTGTCTTGCAGGTGAACTCACCTCTGATGTAGTTGCTGTCCAGCAGAGGCTGCAAGGTGCTGACCTGCTCCAGTAAAGCAGCCTGGGTAAGCAGGAAGTCCTCCTCTGTGCAGACAAACACACACAACAGCATCACAGGGAGAACCGAAACAGATGCGAGTCTTCTATAGGTCTGCACAATTCATCACATTTATATCAGAATCACAATTTGGACTAGAGCAATACCCAAATCGCAGTAAAAAAAGTCAAGGATAAATACATGAAATATCTGAATGAAGTATTGTGGAGCTGAAGAGAAGTCCTGGTAATGTACGTAATACAAAACCTTTTAAGAAATCCCACCATGATCATTTTGAATATATATTATTCATGATAATGTGAATAATGTTTTAAAAAATGGTCATTCCCATATCAATCTTATCACAATTGCAATATCAGTCAATATGGACGCAATACGTTTTATTTCTCAAAAACGTGCAGCCCTAGTCTTCTATAATCTAAAAATCTTATTTATGCGACACCTTACAAACATTACATGTAAAGCCTTAACAAATGTCAAAGAATGTTGTCTTTATATGCAATAAATGAATCCAATGCAAAGCCTAAATTAAATACACATTTGCAAACAGATGTTATTTTTAGGTAATGTATCCATCCCAGGGTCCTCCTTGTTCTTACCAGCCAGAATGAACTCCAGCTTCATGGCGTCAGGTACAGTGATGTGGTCGGTGAACTGAGGGTCCAGGTACTTCAGGAGGTCCTCAACTGCAACACAACGTCGATAAACATGATCAGACTCACAAAACACACTCTTAGATCTGAACACAGAAGAAATACTCAAGGTTCAAATTCAAAGGTGTTATTGTCATGTGCACAAAGCAAATGAACATCTTCTGACCTGAGCTCCTCCAACAATGCAACATATATAATCAAATACAACAATACAAAAGAAAAAGTCTATATACATGTAAGTAGAATATGATATGTACAAGAATAGAATATGACATCAAATAATGTAAATTAAGACTAAATTAAATACAGTTTATTGGGGTGATAACTATTATATAAATTAGTATATTGCAAGATGACAACAGGAATGTTTATCGAAGCACTTCACAGAGCTCAGGTGTTTAGCAGTCTTATGGCATGTGGGATAAAACTGACCCTGAGTCTGGTGAATACTGCAAGCAATGTTGAGGCATTTATCATTTTAGACCAGCACTCTGCTATTACTGGCTATTAATGTCAGGATTTTGATGTCTTTAGTGTTCAGTGGGCATATTTGGGGTCCCTTGTAGTCAGTTTGTTAAAGGTCCCCTATTAAACTGTTTTTCATCAATATATTACAGGTCTCAGATATATACTGAACCTGTCTCTGATTGGCTGAAACACCAAACAGATCATTGCAGCATCCCATAATCCCCTCTGTTTCAGCCCTGTTTCCAAAGTGCTGATTCTCTGTCTGTTACTTTAGATGAAAATAAGGAGCCCCTCCCCACGCCCCTCTGAGAGAGATTTGGTTAAAAAGAACTCAATGGTGCTCTAGGAGGAGATTCAGGTGATAAGGTGTGTGGGGGGGGGGGGGGTTACCTTGGTTGGTGATTGGCTAATGGTTACACAAGCCAAAACATCGTTATGACATCATAAAGTGTCCAAAATCTGATCAGCTCATTTTCAGACAGGTTTTTATAGAAATGGATCAGGACAAAAAGAGAGAGAATCTTTGTTCCTGAAACTTTCAGAATCTCTTTACACAGAGGGGACACATGTTGATGTAGAAGAGACATGAAGAAGAGGGGACACATGTTGAGGTAGAAGAGACATGAAGAAGAGGGGACACATGTTGATGTAGAAGAGACATGAGGAAGAGGGGACACATGTTCATGTAGAAGAGACATGAAGAAGTGGATTTTGCATAATAAGTGACCTTTAAGGATCACATCACATCGTTCGCTTCCCTCCCTCTCCCCATGTTAACTATCTCTCTGCCTATCCAATAAAATGCCAAGATCAATGCCATTCAATATTGTATATAAATAGTGTTGCAGTGACTCAGAGTAACTTGAATAGTAACTACATTGATATACATAAATAAGGTCACAACAGGCTGTAATCCAGACACACCACAGCGTGACTCACTCTTCTTGTGCAGGATCTTCACTCGCTCTCTCTTGTTGGCCGTGTTGGTCAGACCCGCCTGAATCCTGGCCAAAGACTCAGCACACTGCAGGACACAATACATGTATTAGATTTAACAATAAGGATTACCAAGGTATAGGAAAGGCATTACATTTTACAATTCTTCTTTATCACTTTCTTCTCTGATTTGTGCAATGTGTGGTGCTACAGTATACTGACACACTGCAACAACAACACAAACAAGTTCAGGATGATATACAGAGCATGTTTTATGCACTTTCTTCTCCGATTTGCCCAGCGTCGTGCCTTTTGGGGCAACAGTATCTCATTTCAGTTTATCTGTTTATTTTTTCATTATGTTATTTATTTTTTAATATCAAATGTATTTTGGATGGTAGATGTAAAAAGATAGTCTTTTATATTTGTCTTATCAAATATGACATACAACGTAAATTAATATATATATATTGTAGTAATAATGATATAATCTATTTATAATTGTAAATGTATATTGTATGTAGACATACATTTAGATCTACATTTTGTTAAAACAATTATAATAATTTAGTTTGTGGGAGAAGAGGTGGGATTAAATAAGTGTAAACTTCTTCCCACCCCTTTTCGGATGTGTAACTAGGTAAATCATTTGTTTATATATCATTTGTAAGTCAATAATATTTTTGTTCATCAATTTGATACTGCTTACGTTTGTAAAGTATCATAATTATCTTGTTTAATTTCATTAATATTATTATTTTTTGTATTATTGTTCGATATAAATCAAATCAAATCAAGTTTCCTCTTTGAGTATAACTGAAACGAGCTCAACTTGAGACACTCAGGCACTTCCTCTGACCCTGCAAATACATCTTCAGGGAACTCATCCACTACAAAGCACCTTTGTTAGTTAAGAGTGATCATGATCATATGATGCTTTAATGAAACACTCCATGCATCGCTCCAAAGGACCAAACCATGTCTGTAGCCAATCTGCTCATTACGTGTTTACAGTAGATCAGTGATGTCTGTTATTGCATTAACCTCAGATTTGTGTTTTCATAAATTCCTAGAAACCAGTTGGTGACACTCACTGTTATTAGGTATTTAACTAATTATGTAGAGGAGTAGCAGTAAATAGGTAAATACAACGATATACTCAAGTAAAGTAAAAGTGTGTACTTCAAGTGAATGTATATATATATATATATATATATATATATATATATATATATATATTCCACCACTGTCGTTTCTAAATGTAAAAGCATTGTGGATGACATTCAAGTCATACTGTACACACTAATAAAGAACATGTTATGAATGCATATCTCTTTAAAAGGCCACGTAAGAATTGAATAGCTCACCTAACAACTATTTAACTAGAACCTTAACAAACTACAGTAACTTGAATGTACAGTTGTCACAACTCCTATTAAAACGTATTGTTTTACAGTAAATGTTTACAGCATAAAAAGGGCGTTTACTTAAACCTAATGACAAGGCTACAGTTAGCTATGCTAGGCTAACAGCTAGTTAGCTTCTTTTCTAGCACTAAAACTCATCAGAATATACAATATTCCAGGCAAACCTTGGCGGGTTTAGCACTTTTGTTTCTTCTCCCTCCGTATATACGACTTTCCAGCGTCTGGAGACGCATTTCCAGGTTATCCGTCTCCAATTGTTTATCCATTCTTGAAGCTAATAGTGGACAAAATCCAAACAAGCCCTTTTTCTTCTTCTTCGTTTCACGGTATTATGGCGGTGGCAGCCAGCGTTAAGCGCGCATTACCGCCACCTACTGTGTGGACCAGAAATACAGTATCTACCCCCAAACAATTAAAAAATACAATTTAAATTATATTTTTAACTCAGTTTGTCTTACTAAAATACAGTCTGTGCTGTTTATTAATGTATTAAGCTTAAACAGCATTTGTAAACTATAACTGCTACTACATTTTTTATATGAAATGTCTTGGTTTCTTCTTTTCTGATGTCCCATTGATATTGAAACACATCTTATTGTGATTTATTTTGTGCTACTACACCGACAGGGGGATCGAAATTCTGTTTCTCACATCCCAGAGAATCAAAATATATAAAAATAAACATATGTATTTATACATACTGTATACATGCACGCCTTTACATCCAAGTATATACACACGCATATACACAAATCTACATGTAGATGTAAACATAAGACACAACAGTAAATATGTATAAAAAATAACGGCCACTGATTAATTTGAAAAAAGAAATTGTTTATATTTTAGAATACTTTATTCCTAGATGTTTATATTTTAGAATTGTTTATTTCCCACAATGCCTAGTGTTGTTGTGTGCTGTGCTGAAGCGCATTGATCTTTGCACATATACTGCTGTGCTGTATACTGTATTTACGCTCAGTGTATTTATTCTTATTTATACATTTTACATCTATTTACCTTTACTTGTATCATTTATTTTGTACAGACTGCTGATAGATGTGTATATAACTGACTGTTTGCACTCTGGTTAGACCCTCTTAATTTCGTTACACTCTGCTTGTAATGACAATAAAGTAATTAATCTAATCTTCTAGATGTTTATATTTTAGAAGTGTTTATTTCTACTCTTTTAACTTAATTATGTGCAATGCCTTGTTTTGTTTTATGCTGCTGCAACGAAAAATAGTACATCTTATCTTATCTTATCTTATTACGTACTTGGTAATAAAACCGATTCTGATTCTGACCTGAAGAAGTGTCCGCTAGGAGGCGCTGTTTTCCGGGGGAGCTTTCAGCTGTTTTCCGGTGACAGCAGGGGAATGACAACATCACGGCCCTTCTTCCATTCAAGCTGACTGCAAAAGATCGACAAAAAGTAAGATTTCCCCTCATATCAACACCTCTTCTTGGCACACAAGAATAGTTTGTTCGTGGACAATAACCACAATACCCAAAAAGCAACAACGTGTGTCCATTTCAACAATTGTTTGCTATATTGTCATGCTAAGTTAGCTTCCCTAGCTATCAAGCTAACGTCAGTTTCTGCATTACATCTGCGTAGTTTCACAGGCTTGGAGTTTGTTTGGAAGTCTAGCATGTGAGTTGTTGTCTTTTTCTGGACTATAACTGTGTAATAACTCCCCTAGTGAATTAATAACGAAGTATATAGCTTATTTAAAGCAGAATTACTTGAATCCATGTGCTACTAGCTTATGTTGCACTGCCTGTTTCACTGTGGTTTTGGGGTTGTGTGGCTCAAAGTTTCACTAATGTGTGTTGCTCTGTTGTGTTGTTGACACCTGTTTACCCTTCAGAGTGTAGTGCAGTACCCAAATAGCAGTAAGCACAACATTAAGTACATGATAAATACGTGAAATGATGTATTGTGGAGCTGCAGAGAAGTCCTAATAATGTACACAGACATAATAAAACAATCCTTGTTGGGTACAGATCATCTTAAGAAATACCACCAGGATCATCTTAATATATATTATAAAATAATTCTATGGACAATGTTTCAATAATGGTAATTCCTTCATATGTCATTGTTGCAATATCAGTCAATATAGATGCAATACATTCATCATTTATTCCATCGATGTGTAATATGTATAATAACTCCCCTTTCAAATCAGGAAGTATATGGCTTACATAAAGCAGAATTATGAGTCAATGTAATCCTCGCCTATGTTTCCCTGTGGTTTCGGGGTTGTTTTGCTCAAAGTTTCACTAATGTTTTTTGCTCTGCTGTGTTGTTGACACCAGGAAGCCGTCTGCCATTGGACTTCAGAGTCTGTGTGTTGGGGGATTTATTCTTTATGAGCCACTGGGAGCAGCAGCATGGCAGATGACAAGGACGTGTTGAGAGACGTTTGGTTCGGCCGGATCCCCACCTGCTTCCTCCTGAACCAGGATGAGGTTACCGAGAGAGAGGCTGAGCCCTACTATGTAAGAGCTGTTACCTTCTGACTTCACATTGACGCAAAACCTGACCCACGATTTGGCTTTTGCTTTTGCCTGTGACTAATTCCATAACTCACTTACCTCCTAAAAGCCCCATCTGAAACTACAGCTCAGTATTTGACATCACTATGTAAGAATGAAAACAGAGACATAGCAGATGACTTGGATAAGAAAAAGAAAAGAAACAAACCCTATCTCCATATCAACGCGACTTATTGGAATGTGTCTAAGCAAGCTCACTTAAAAAAAGGACAGATAAATAGTACAAATAGTAAAGCCACCTAGTCACAAAGCACATACAACATTAAACAAATCATAATACAGATGCCAAGCATAACATCCTTACCCATAAAATAATCATAAAAGAATCAAACACATTAGTAGAAATACAAATCCAACATATAAGAACACCATCAATGAACAACTAGAACTTGTAGGGAAATTAGCAGCAACATCTAATCACCCTTCACATAAAATGCTTCTTGAAGTGCATTGAAAACACCTGCTGTATTGCCGTTTATTCAACCTGCAGTGATATGTTTGTAGTGTCATGGAGGCAGACATGAATATGTGCTGCTCTGGCACCTGGATGTTATGATCTTAAGGATTATTTTAAAGAAGACGTAGGGAAATGAAAAGGTGTTTAGCCAGAGTCTTCCTTAAAAGCTCTCCTTTTGTGATCTAGCTTTACAGATGTCGCAGATCACATCCTAAAAATGCTAGATGTAGTTGGCACGTATTTGTCCATGTGTCCTGACATGTAACAAAACCAAAATGTTAAAAGACATTTTATTATCTTATAGGGGTGGGAATCACCAGGCTCCCCACGATACGATACTATCACGATACTTAAGCCACGATACGATAGTATTGCGATTCTACGCTATGCTAAGTATTGCGATACGATATATTGCAATATTGCAAATCACATGCTTCATATCCATGTCTGTCTTCCCTTCCTGGTTAAAAAATGTATTTGCAATATGAATAGTTTATGTAAATAACCCAATTTGTGTTATTTGAACCTGAAAGAGAGATGGCATTGTTTTTGTTACTTTCATTGCAATTGTATACATGTCCTAACGTAACTTCCTGTTTTATATACCACCATCTTTCGGAGGGATATGCTACAGTTTCTATAACAAAACAAAACATTTTCTTGAGTAGGTTGTCACAAATCACAAGACACTTTATCCAGTTTTTAATCCACAGGGAAAAGTCAATCCTGCTAAGAACAGATTGATCAACCGCTTAGAGATGTCCCGCCCCTTAGCCTATCACGTACAATGTGTTGGAGCGCTAGCCAATAGAAGCACGAGTGTTACATAGTGATGTCTTTATGCTCCAGAGGTAAACAAAGGAGTCCAATGGAGGCGTTACAGACGGGGGGGGGAGTGTTTGGCAGAGAAACTCCCTCTGATTATATTCTCTGCAGACCATTTACATGCACTAAAACCTACAGAACACACTACAGGAAAGGGGACAAACCAAACAAACATGCTAGTGCCATATGATTTAGCACACCTCAGCTGCAAACACACTTATAACAGAAAGACATACTATAAGTTAATGTTTACATCACCAGCAGGGCTTACACCTTTTGATGATATCAGTAAAAAGGTTCGTCTGTAGCCGATGTGCACCTTAAGCATACAAAATAAACAAAGAAGCACCGTAGATCCACCTGACACAATACGTCTAAGAGCAGCATTAATCACAGTTTCAATGAACACACTGTGCACAGCCACGTCCACTGATTGCAGCTCTCTACCACAGTGACGTCAACACTTTGCCTTGGCTGTTAGAAAAACATCACTCGTCACCGGCTTGGTCTTCAATACCAGGATACATGTATTTATTATCCTTGCAAGAATGGAAGTAGTCATCACACACAGGGCTGCGTTGGACAAATAGTTCCCAGAGTAGAGTCTTTGAGATGCTTGTATACAAGAGAGGGTGTTACAGTCAACAAGATGGAGGAATACCGGTTCAAAGCAGTATTCTGACATTAGTTCAGATTAGCTAAGGCCTGCGTAAGCAATAAACATGACAGTCATATGCGTATCTCTCTAGGGGCTGTGTCATCATGCCATTCATAACTTCAACACAGTGTCTCATGAGCGTCATCCATGTAGTCATACATCCGGCTACGTACACCGCTACATAGGGCCTCTGTTATCATGTGCTACTCTGATATAGAAGGAACATTCAGTATTTTCCCAACAGTGTTAATAGTGTGTTTTTATGTGATTTATTATGAACCGGTGTCTTCTTCTTCTGTTGTCCCGCTCAGCTGCTGTTACCCAGGGTGAGCTACCTGACTCTGGTCACAGACAAAGTGAAGAAACACTTCCACAAAGTAATAAGGACCGATGACGCCGAGGAGATGTGGTTCGAGTATGAAGGGACGCCGCTGAAATGGTGAGTGAAGCGTTGCTGGATGAACTGGTTTTGCTATTTCTCCAAGGTGCTGTATCATGAGTTAATGCACTGGTGGTGCTCTGAATAGGCAAGCTTATTTATATAGCAGATTTCAATTTAACATACAAAGAAACATTTCAAACCAGTCAGTAAAAAGCCAAGATTATACAAAATGTAAGTAAGCTAAAAGAGAATAAGATAGGTAATAAATACAAGAGTGAAAGTAACAGGGAAAAGGCAGCTGTACATTCTTCAGTCTTGATTTAAGGAAGGGGGAGATGCAGCGGAAGTTTGTTCCAGATAATTGGAGCATAATAGAGCGGTGCAGTGTCGAGTCCTAAAACCCGGACGTGAGTCAGCATTTCACCACTTCCTGTTCCCTCGTCTCAGAGCCAATGGGATCTCTTCGTAGGATTTTGGAAAATTGCTGGAAATAATGTCTGTGGTTGACTCACATTTTAAGAGATGGACCACGTTTTGTTCTACGACATTAAATAAATCAGCAGTGACCCCGCTGGTGATTTCTGAAGAGTTGACGTGTCTGAAAAACGATGGTTGTTACCAAGTGGCTGAATAGGACTACAGAAGTTGTCGAGGTCGTTGTACGTCATTACACCGAACACGTAAACACTCCTCTAAGTTAGTTTGCCCTGTTCTGCTTGAAAGCAAGTACCTGCCTCCTGCAAACTGTTAAAACAAACGCTTCAACTTGTACCATTTAGAATCTGTATGTTTGAATATGGATCTTAAGTTGGCGTGACGTTGAAGAGAGGAGGGAGGGAGAGGGGAGAGAGAGGGGAGAGAGGGGAGAGAGGGGAGAGAGTTCAGCCTCCTGACAGCCTAGAAAAAGTATTTGAATTGATTAAAGATATCTTTGTTTGGTACACACCCCTCCACCATGATCATTTTAAATATGCCTTTCGATGATAATGAGAATATTGATGCAAAAAGGATCAACCCTTCCTTTAATGTGTGTCATATCGCAATTGAAATATAAGTGGGAATAATCACAATTAGTTATTTTTGTACAGATTGTGCAACAAATGCATTCACATAACCTGTAACTCTTAAGTGAGGGATAGGGTTAGGGATAACCATGGACACCTTGTTAGTTTCTCGTTTCAAATATTTCTAAGAAGCATACATATATACAGCCATAGTAGAGATTTGGTGGGGAGGATATCACGCGTCTCTTTTTAAAGCAATCCATAACCTTGTTAGTTTCTCATCTGGCTTTTTTTTGCAGAGCTCAACCGTCTGCAGACACACTAGTTCAGCCACAAGGTGTCAGTATTGTAGCACAGATGATGAACGAGAGCCTGGTTTATAGAGGCGTTAATCTTCCAGTGAAGCACGTTACAGAAAGGTAGCAGCGTTTACAGATATTGAATTATTAGTTGGGTCAACATATTCAAATGTCAACTGGTTTCATTTCTTGTTTTCATTATGAAAACATAACACTTTAAAAGCATCCCTCCAGGTTCTGGTGACCTGTAATGGGAGTTTGACATCAGGTTTAACATATTTAAAATGACAGATATATCCCACATTGGTTTGTTGGCTTTTAGGGGAACTAGACCTCAAAGACTAACATGATTTGAGGCTGTGATAACAAAAAGATACTCTTTCCTGTTGGCTGAAACACAGGAAGTGACAAATAGCAATGTTGGAGTGAAACGTCAACCGTCAACAACCTCCAAAGACCACAAAAAAGACGCCTGTTATGTCCTTTGGCACGTTAAATCTTAGGGAAAGTTACAATTGAACTTAGACATCATCAAATGTTTTCATTAATATTATTTTCTTCTTTTTAACGTAAAAAAAACTCAGCGTTCAGATTTGAGGCATAAGATGTTTTTTTGTATTGTTTTATTCGTACTGCACGCAAAGAAATGAGTTTGACATTTTAGATACCATTTTTTACAAAACACATACTGTTGTTAAACATGTGTTACAATAGTAAGTAACATTATTTCATCCCACAGGCCATACGAATGTTAAACACCTGCACTTTTGAAAGAACATCCACAACATTCATCTGTTTGCAACTTTAAAAAAAAAACCCAAAAAGCAATTTATCTAATATATCATATTCCAAGAGGCTATTCTTGCACTATTTCTATTATATTCTATTCTATTTGTATTTACTTGCAATATTTTATCTGTGTTATTGTGTTGCACTGTCGGATGAGCCTGTGACTTCAGATTTTCATTGTCATAACCAGGGGCGGACTGGGACTAAAAATCGGCCCGGGACTCTCGACCGGCCCACTTCGGTACCGCTAGTAAATTGTCAACGGGGGGGGGGGGGTGCTAGTGACTGGGGTGGAGGCATGTGGCGCAGTGGGTTGTGCGTTGGTGTTGGGATCAGGGGAGCACAGGTTCAAACCCCACTGCAGTCAGCATGTCGTTGTGTTGTGTCCCTGGGCAAGACACTTCACCCCAAATAATATAAGCGTCTAACAAGTAACATGTCATGTAAAAACTTATCCGACCGGCCCACTACGGTACCGCTAGTAAATACCGCTAGTCAATAGTCAACGGTGGGTGCTAGTGACTTATCCGACCGGCCCACATTGTCCGACCGGCCCACTTCAGTACCGGCCCACCAGGATTCGTCCCGATGGCCAGTCCGCCACTAGTCATAACTACACTGTAGCTATGAACTCATGACAATAAAAGCCTTGAATCCTCCTTGAATCCTTGAATCCTACTTCCTGTTTGTGTTTTCCCGTGACAGGCACTATCCAATTGGAGTCCTGTTTGACCTCCATGCATCTAACACTGTCTTACCCTGGAGCATCACTGTGCACTTTAAGGTGAGTGTTCATGCACAGCTTCCACAAGAATATATCACTTTTTTTATCTGTAAATTGTACATATTTTATGTTGAAATGTATACTACATTTAGAAAGGGGAATGCTGCAAAGCTCCACAGTTTAATATGTGTAGATTAGATCAGATTAGATTAGATTAGATTAGATAGAATTTTATTAATCCCGAAGGAAATTGTTTTTGCCAGGTTGCTCCAAAAATCCAATACAGATACATCTTAATAAAAGTATGTCATATACAATAGCTAAATATACAATATACAAAGTAAGTAACGTATTACAGTGCCGCAGTAGAGAATAGGTAGCAGCCTGTGACAGTGACGAGTCATTTGGTGACCAGTCATATTGCACATTCAAGTCAAATACTAAATATCAGACACTACCTGTGGCGTTGTGTGGTGCTCCTCGGTGCTCGCAGTCTGCTGCTGAAGCTTGTGTAACCATTAGCCAATCACCAACCAAGGTAACCCCCCCCCCCCACCTTGTCACCTGAATCTCCTCCTAGAGCACCATTGTGTTCTTTGTAACCAAATCTCTCTCAGAGGGGCGTGGGGAGGGGCTCCTTATTTTCATCTAAAGTAACAGACAGAGAATCAGCACTTTGGAAACAGGGCTGAAACAGAGGGGATTATGGGATGCTGCAATGATCTGTTTGGTGTTTCAGCCAATCAGAGACAGGCTCTGGATATATCTGAGACCTGTAATATATTGATGAAAAACAGTATAATAGGGGACCTTTAATGTCTACCAGCTTTTGTTGAAGCCCTTCTTCTTCACCAATTGGCCCCCCAAAAACTAAATGAAGAATCTTTAAATAATTTCTTTCTTCTGCATGTGTCAGAATTTCCCGGAGCGTGACCTGCTGCACTGCCCGTCCCACTCTGTGATCGAGGCGCACTTCATGTCCAGCATCAAGGAGGCCGACGCCCTTAAACACAAGAGCCAAGTGGTCAACGACATGCAGAAGAAAGACCACAAGCAGCTGTGGATGGGCCTGCAGAACGGTGAGACACACACACACACACACACACACACACACACACACACACACACACACACACACACACACACACACACATATTTAAGCATCTCTGTGTGAGCATGCTTAAAGGTGAGTAGGGCACACACACAAATACACACATGGACTATTCTATAAGCAGCTGTGAATGAGCAGGCTAAATGGCGAGGAGGGCAGATACACACACACACACACACACACACACACACACACACACACACACACACACACACACACACACACACACACACACACATATTTAAGCATCTCTGTGTGAGCATGCTTAAAGGTGAGTAGGGCACACACACATAAATACACACATGGACTATTCTATAAGCAGCTGTGAATGAGCAGGCTAAATGGCGAGGAGGGCAGATACACACACACACACACACACACACACACACACACACACACACGCACACACATACACACATGAAAAGAAGAAAGACCACAGGCAGCTGTTGGGGAAGTGACACTCGTTCACTCATTAACACACAGATGCACACATGTTGTCTCCCTGCTGATCACACTTTTAAGCAGATTTGCACCTGCTTGTGCACACACACACACACACACACACACACACACACACACACACACATACACACACACACACACACACTGAAAGCTGATATTCTTATTAATGATCAAGCACACACCTTTTTAGAAAAAATCTTTTGCAAAATATTTACTCAGTGGGGTGCTTTAAAAGACACAGATAGATAGACTTACACACACACACGCACACGCACATGCACACGCACACGCACACACACGCACACACATCTCCCTCCAGTCTGATAGCAGTCTTTGAAGCCTCCACTTCCAAACGTCTCCCACAGAAACACCCACCAGCTTCTCCTTCCGTTTCCACCCATGTGTCTCGACAGGTTGATTTCCTATTGGCCGCCGGATGGGGGGGGGGGGGGGGGGCACTGTGATGTGGTAGTAGGTCACTGTGGGCGTCGGGGGTGTTTTAAGTTTGAGGTTTGAGCTCGTCTTTGAAAAGTAAACTCAAAGCGTGGGGTGAGATTCCTGGAATCACTGCAGGTCAAGTCGAACAAAGCATCTGCCCTCTGGGTCAGTTATTTATAAATATGTCACCTTTCTTTTGATCTTTCATTCTCATTATCTGCATATTTTTTATTAAGAATTACTTACACTTGCTATTAATCCCTACGTTACATCTGGGATTAATTAATCAGTTATTAGTCTATGAAGGGTTAACATTGTACATCAGATCTGAAAGCCAAATGTAATGCCTCCAAATGTCATCCTTTTGGTCCCAAAACAAGAAGCAAAATTAAAAAGTATTACATTCAAAATTGCGTAACCTGGAACCAGCAAATATGACATGTTTGCATGATTTTTGCAGTAACTTAAAGGGGACCTATCATGCAAAATGCACTTTTGTACGTCTTTTATACATGAATATGTGTCCCCGGTGTTCCAGGGAACTCACCAAGTGTCAGAAAACACAACCCTCTCTATTTTCCTCCATACCCAAATCTCTAAAAAAGGGGCTGCAACGGATCTGATAAAAACTGATCCAGATTTGAACACTGTCGTCACGACACTGTCGTCACGACACTGACGTCACGACAGTGGCGCTACGGCTATTGGGCCAACTCCACCAATCAGGAGGAGACAGCCACGGCCATTGCCGTTCTAAAGCGCTGGAGACGCTGTAGTACATATGCCAGGCCTGTAGGTGGTGCTGTTCTCACAGAATCAGCCCTTGCACAAACAGAGCTAGAAATTGTCAAATTGAGCAAAATGAGGCATGGCTAAAATGCATGATCTGTTTGGTATTTTGAAAACAGAAAAGTATAAATATGCCTTATATAGGTATGGTCCTACACTATATTATTCAAATATAGCATGATAGGTCCACTTTAAACAATAATAATACAAATGATACAATAATATTTGTTTGCAATAGTTCCAACAGTTGCCAAAATGCTTAATTAATCTGCTTTAGTTATAAATATGCTTCAGGATTTTCTGGAAGTAAATCATTATTTGTTGTTTTGGAGCCTGATAATAATATTAAAAAAATATTGTCTATATTCTATTCTATATCTATTAAGGCTTGTTTTTAAAACTCAATATCCCTTAAAAATCACTTTTCCTTCTAAGCTAATATGCTGTTAAGATATAATATATATCATGTGTTTATTATATATTTCACAAACAGCATTGTATACTAATTGCAATGCAAATGATGGTCAGGAAACTGGAAATAACTAGGAAAGTAACTGTTCATTCTTTGCTTCTGGCACTGACAATGTTTTGAACACATTTGCAAAAACAAATCCTGCAAAAACTTCATAGACTTTTCTGTTACTTTCCCCTGAAACTAATACAAGGAGCTCTGACTCATCTTAGCACAAGAGAGAGAGAGAACATTATCCATTTTATATTTGACAGATTATTCAGAGGACTTTACGAAGTGTTTTGAAAGTGCAGGGTTCATGCGAGGCAAAACATCAATATTATATCTATACTGTGATATGAAATTACATATCGACTAAGGCAGGGGGGTCAAACTCAATTCCATCTAGGGCCACATTAGCATCATGGTTGCACTCAAAGGGCCAGTTTTATATATAAGACTATATAAAAATACATATATAATATTGTATTATTACATTATTGCCTCTGCATTGGATTATTATCGGATAGGGTATAACTTCATAATTAACTACGTCTGAAAGCAGAAGTCTAGGGCAAATAATTCTTCAGTGAGAATGTCACAAAATGATTTAAAAAGAAAAGCCAAATTTGAGGTGCATTGTGGGACATGTAGTTTATGGGTAACGTGCTTCTGTAAATCGGCATGTAACCGTATAATAAACATATTATTCTTTGCAAGCTCTTGTGGGGCCACAGAAAATGAAGTCACGGGCCCGATTTGGCCCCCGGGCCTTGAGTTTGACACCCCTGGACTAAGGTTTTAAGCATGGTAATATTGCACAAGTGTCGTTGACTTGTTTTAAAGGCTGCGTTACAGTTAAGTCATGCAATTTTCTGAGATTACATGACTTGCATCTTGCTTTTACCCACTTATTATAACACATTATATCCATATTACTGAGGATTTTAAATCAAAAACCTCATTATCAAAGTCAAAGTCAACTTTATTGTCAATCTCAAAATATGTTTGTACACACAGAAAGGTTGAAATACTGTTTCCCATAGTCCCGAGGTCTAACAAAACTCACACATTCAAATGCAAGAACACTCAATAATTTACACAAAATAACCGTTTACTTCAGTAAGGATATATATAAAAAAAGATGATGTACATAGTGTAAATGAGAGTGCATTATGTTAATATATCGTGAAGTCACCTTAGGTCAACCCTACCATATCTATATCTGAAATATTGTGATATTAGTTTTTCTCCATATCGGCCATACCTCGTTCTTGCCATCTCTTTGTAACGACATCAAAAACAGAAAGCACTTGAGAACTAATCCAAACAGAAGGAGCCGTACTCATGAAAGTGAGAGATGAAACTTATTTAAAGCAAAACTTTCACGTCCAAAAGAGACCAGAAACAGAGACAGAGAAACAGTGATGGCGCTTACTTTCATCGAGCGGAGAGAAAACAGGAGGCTCTTGTGAAAGTGAGAGGAGAGAAGGAGGGTTTGAAACCAGCACATGTTGGGTGGAATCCTTTCGTAAAGATCTAAGGCGGAGCAAGTCTCCGTCTCCTGTGTTGGTGAGAACCAAATCCCATATAACCCCGTCCATCTGTAAGAGCAGCTCCTTCATCACTGACAAAAATCCTTTGCTTGACCCACAGCGGAGAAATTAGCATTGTTACAGGGAGAAGGAATAGTGCAGACAAGACAGCATTAAAGAGTAGACTAACATATTCAGTAAAGAAGTAAGCACACGTTAATAACATGTATTGTGTCACTATATTGTTTTACACACTTTATTATACCCATCCATTCATATTCATTCTGCTATATATATCTTCATATGCATATTTATATATGTATACACCATACTCTACCCTAGTTAGTTGCAGCACATCATGCACTTTCATTCTGAGACAATGTATTTCACTTTTACTTTTTGTTGTCACAGATAAGTTCGATCAGTTCTGGGCCATGAACAGAAAGCTGATGGAATATCCCACCGAGGACGGAGGCTTCAGATTCATCCCCTTCAGGATATACCAGGTACGCACGCACGCACGCACGCACGCACACACGCACGCACGCACACACGCACGCACGCACACACACACACAGAGGTTGCCAAAATTCTGATCCCAAGGCTACGACTGAAAGGGACAGATATCGTTTTTTTAATAATTGTGTGTGTGTGTGTGTGTGTGTGTGTGTGTGTGTGTGTGTGTGTGTGTGTGTGTGTGTGTGTGTGTGTGTGTGTGTGTGTGTGTGTGTGTGTGTGTGTGTGTGTGTGTGTGTGTGTGTGTGTGTGTGTGTGTGTGTGTGTGTGTGTGTGTGTGTGTGTGTGTGTGTGTGTGTGTGTGTGTGTGTGTGTGTGTGTGGTGTGTGTGTGTGTGTGTGGTGTGTGTGTGTGTGTGTGTGTGTGTGTGTGTGTGTGTGTGTGTGTGTGTGTGTGTGTGTGTGTGTGTGTGTGTGTGTGTGTGTGATCAAAGTGTTAGAGCTCGCCAGCACCCATCATTCAAATCCTCCTGTCATTCTCTCTCACACACACACACACACACACACACACACACACACACTAAACAACCTTCCACAATGCCCTTATTACTCTCATTTCTCATAAAGCCAGCACGCTTTGATTCTCCTTTGATAAATCTGAAGTGTCTCAGTCAGTCCAGTAGATGTAGCCAGATAGCTGTGTATAAAAAGGTCTTTTCCTAACTTCTTGTCCTTTACCTCAGTGAACACTCGGAACATTAAGCACTTAGATATGTCATAAGATAAGAACACGCACTGTGAGTTAGATGATCTGTCAGTCACAATCACAGTTGTTTCCAGAAACTGTCATTTTAAATATTGCAAAGACTTACGGGACAGCATTATCCCCTTTACTGTCCTAAAGGGTGGTCCAGTGTATCCTCAAGGAGTTAATCAAGGAAGCATTGAAGCTCCTTTCCTATCATATAGAGAATTTGAGCAGCTCTTATCGTGGCTGACACTTGTTAGGAACCTTCGATTACTACACTTTACACTAATGAGAATGACTCTTCTTGTCTTTCTCTGTAATGTTTTTAAATCCAGGTAATCATTCATGTTCTTTTCCTGAAACCACAATGGGTTCATTCACTATGAGGCATTTGCTGGCACCCACACACACCTGCAGACTAAATGTCTATTTAACAGTAAAAACAAAACAAAGACACATTTCAACCCACTTGGTGACCTCTTCCTGACATGCTCATCCCTCTAAAGAAACAATAGAAGTCTCTTGTCATTATACAAAATCAAGAAAGACAACTTATTGTGTTCGTGCCTCCCATGATACACACCTTGAAACTTATTGAGTCATTTGTATTTTTTAAGGTCATCCATAGTTCTTTACATATAAGCTTGATAGGCTATTAACACTTTTTTTTCAATTCTTTTTTCACAATTTGAACCACATTAAAAGGTTTAATGCAGATTTGTGTTCTCATGTCATCTGATCAATGAATCAGCCTGTTCATAATAGGGGTAAACAACAAAACACTGTCTGTCTGAGAGACGTGTCGGACCCGGCTTTACCCCGGTGCTTTTTGGAGGTTATTCATCAGTTCCGGTACATTTGATACATGTGACTCTCCTCGGTTCGTGTGTTATTCCCCTGGACCGAGAAGAGCCTGTGGGCGAGCTTCAATGCATTTCAAACCTCCACAACTTCATCCTGACTCAGGTGAAAAATTCCTTTTTTTTTTAAGGACCAAAAAACGGAAGAAGAGGTGGATGAATAATCGGCTGATTCTCACATGGAAAACATGAGCAGACTGAGAGCCAGACAGAAAAAAGTGCCACGCTTTGAGTCAAATGTTGGTGGATTTTTATGCAAATCAAAAGCTGGAAAAGTGTGCAGAAAGAATTTGAGAACTTCAGGAATTACTCATTTAATAATCGAAGTCGATTAAAACATTATTTGAATCCTACCGGACCCTCAAAAGTGTCGTCCAGTGCAGTTTGAGGAGTTGTACATTTGGAAAACATCTGGATCTGTGCAACAAAAACATGTTGACAGTCTGCTTTGAGTCTGGCGGGTGAATGTGCGTGCATTAAGCCTCGATCTGAAATCACAGGGAGCACAAAGGCCTCCTCACTGTCACTGAGTCCTGTGGAGGAATTAAAAATGTTAGGGCCTGTCGAGACACGTTTGGAAACATAATGAATCAGAAAATGGAGCAGAGCAGAAAATAGATCTGGCTCCGAATGACAGAAGTGTCAACTTATGTAATTTGATTTATAGATAGAACAGCACTGTGCTGTAATGGTTAGCTGCAAGAGTGAACTTTCCTACCAAGCATATTTTCCCATCATCATATCCGCTGTGATTGCTGGTAATTTCCCAATGCCATGATTTAGTATTCTTTAATAATGCCCTACTTGGCAGCTCATATGGCTTCATTTACATGTTGCGCAACAACGAGGGCCTGTCAATCAATGGCTGCTTTGCATAAAATTCAAAAAGCTCATGAATGCTTTTGTCTTTTACTTGTACGTCTCGAGTGCGTAAATAAAGCACTTTGACAAAAACATTCTTGTTTGGTTATAAAAAAAGGGAGTCTTTTAAGTGGCAGACTGAAACATGCAGTCTCACCAACATGAGCCGCCCTCGCAGACATGCACTTGTCGCAGCTGTAAAACCGGATTAATTCTGGCGTGGAGGAGAAACACAGTTCTGGGTGTTTTTTAATGGCTAAATTGAAAGTTTCCACAGCCATTTATGGCTTGGTTTCATGGCAATTGGAGCATCAAAGCCTGTTACAACCTCACTGTGTGGAGAAAATGAGCCGGAGAAAAGTCTGGATTGTTTTGGAAATGGTGTGGGTTTTCTACTTACAAACTGCTAAATATGTTCAACTGAAGACGAGAGGAAACTAAATCTGTTCATTAGGGCTGCACGATATGGAAAAATGCAATAATTGTGGTTATTTTGACTGATTTTGTAATTAAGACATGCATCATTATTGTCATTATCATTGAAAAATATATTAAAATGTACCAAATATGTCAGTAGAATACATTTGTAGGGCGGGATATGTCTGCAGCTCGACAAAACTTCATCCAAAATACAATTTGAATACATATTATCCTGTAACAATTATTGTTCTTCAATGATTTGAATATTGCACTAGTCTATATTGCGATTTCCATACCATTTGGATTAATTGTGCAGCCCGACTGTTCATTATCATGAAAATACTCATAATGGCAGTTTTCTGTGGCACTTTGCTCCTACTTTCACTGGAAATAACTTATTTGAATTGTTTCTAAATGTGTAGGAATCCTGCTGAAATTCTTTTCATTACTAAGGTGGGTTTGTTTTGCTCATTACGAGACGAAACACGATACTACAAAACCCAGTAAAGACACGAAAAAAAGCGGAGGAAGAACAAAGTGATTGTCATTGTGGTGACTCCGCTCACACATACACACACACACACACGCACACACACACACACGCACACACACACACACACACACACACACACACACACATGCTCGGAGTCCTTCAAAGCCAGATTGTGGTCTTTAGTGTAAATAACATGTGCTGTGTTTGATGCAGACAGAATTAATGACAACACTCAGTCCAAATAACAGAGGGCTCATTTCCGTCTGGCCTGCACTCCTCATGGAGACAAAGACAACTCATGGGCATGGACGACACATTTATGTGTGTGTCTGTGTCTGTGTGTGTGTGTGTGTGTGTGTGTGTGTGTGTGTGTGTGTGTGTGTGTGTGTGTGTGTGTGTGTGTGTGTGTGGTGTGTGTGTGTGTGTGTGTGTGTGTGTGTGTGTGTGTGTGTGTGTGTGTGTGTGTGTGTGTGTGTGTGTGTGTGTGTGTGTGTGTGTGTGTGTGTGTGTGTGTGTGTGTGTGTGTGTGTGTATGTAGTGTGTGTGTGTGTGTGTGTGTGTTGTGTGTGTGTGTGTGTGTGTGTGTGTGTGTTGTGGTGTGTGGTGGTGTGTGTGTGTGTGTGTGTCTGTCTGCCTGCCTGCCTTATGTCTTGAAGGTTAACCATCAATTAGTTATTATTATTTGTATTTACTTTTTTAAGGGGTTTATTAGTCTTATATAATCTACATATATCCCATTAAATTGATATGATAAAGAAGTCCTTTTCCTCTCACTCTGCATTTCCTTCCATACACTTATACTTTAATATATTACATAAATACTTGACTTGGCTTTAATCAATAAGCAGTTTTTTACCATTTCTCTTCTTACTGTACATTTCTTTTTGTGTTCTTCATTCATCAAGCGTTCTGTTTCTAAGTTTCTTTCTACTTCTGTATCTTGTCCTTTTCAATTGCCTCCACTTTGCTTTTGTGTTTGCACACCGCCCGCCCCGCCCTTTGCTCTGGCAGCGCAACTTATTTGGCTGCCGGTGCATCTTCCTGTGATTCAAAGAGCCGGAGGGGGGCCGGCCGTCTCGCTGCACGGAAAGTGAAAATTACTATCCTGTTTTTAAAGAGCACTTACATTGTTGCTCTACAGGTACAACGCTCTGTTCCCGCTCCGTGACTCAGGGCTTAGTCACAAACTCTGTGTTGTGGTGCTGAGGAAGCTGCCTGCAGGTTTATTGCGTCGCAGATATCTTGTAATGGCTTGGCGGAGACGAGGGGGAGGTGGTGACTACACAGACAATTACAAAACATGGGAATGCTGGAAACAAATTTGTGCCATAGGCGACAGGTGATATGCCGGTTGCACTGAGGGAGAATTTGCTGATGCCTTTACAGTAACGGTGTCTGGTAAAACCATGACTGTCAGTGGAAAAGCTTTTTAGGTCTTGGTCAATCTGCCGAATGCTCGAAGGCTTTTACGTTGTGGTATTGGCAAACTTGCTGATCTGTACTTAATCATGAAGAAACAGATGCAGCTTCAATCTGATTATTTATCACATCTTCAGATTGTTGCGTCAGTTCGGCCATTATACAGAAAAACATCAGCTCTTGGTTATATCTTATCATGCAGATGGTTTTGGTTTTATTTAATCTCCTGCTGACCATGCCACATGTCAAC